AATTTGAAATCACTGAGCGCTGATTGTAAAGATTGCCACTTGAAAACCAGAGCCCAGATTCTTTAAAATATAACACTCTTTTTGTTAAAAAATGAATACTTTATAACAAGTTTGTCTCCTTTCTGCACCATGATATACTAACATTACCTAAAACTGTGTTGTATAGCTGTGTGTGCGCTCCATGGCTTCGTTAGAGACCATCGGCCCCCTCATGACTGGGATGAAATGTCGGGCAGACATGGCTGGATTGGCTTGTGAAGCTCTCAACCGCATGTTCCAGAAGGAGCAAACTGAACTAGTGGCCCAGGTAAACTTCATCCTTGTTGTTTTTTTTATTGCGTTGTGTGCATCATGTTTATTGACCATGTAAAATGTCTGATGTATTTTGTTAATGAACTGAACAGGCTCTAAGAGTGGAGCTGGTTCCATACCTCCTGAAGCTACTAGAAGGAATCGGACTGGAGACTTTAGAAAACCCTTCAGCTACCAAGGCCCAGATAGTAAAGGCTCTCAAGTCCATGACTCGCAGTCTGCAGTATGGAGAGCAGGTATGGTGGGAATATATGCCCAGAAGGATTATCAGATAAAACCATTGGATGATTAGTACCTAGTTATTTGTCTTATTTGAAAGTCTTTTCCGTTCACCGATTTGCAGGTGAATGAGATTTTAGCAAGATCCTCAGTGTGGAGTGCCTTCAAAGACCAGAAACATGATCTTTTCATCTCAGAGTCTCAGACCGCAGGCTACCTAACAGGTACAGTCTTTCTATAAACTTAACCTGCTATTGAACACTCTGCATCACAAAACCTGACATTTTCTTAACAAGCAAAGCAGTTTAACTTTTTTCTGTGAGTGTTTAAAAGGTAGGTTTCTTTCTCTGAGCTGTTATTGAATCTTAATGCTTTGCTTTATCCTAATAACCACCTTGTGGCTGACTCCTCACTTGTGCTTAAACCCTGCGACCCTTTCTCTCTCCACGTCCTATAACTTCCCGGCTCTGCCCTTCCCTTCCTCTTTGTCCTCCACATTTCCTCCTCAGGGGTATCTACTCCTTCTCTCCTGGCCGCCAGCAGCCCACTGCGAGGTGGGCTCTAGACTCCTAAGCTGGGTCCTCACAGCCCTCCTCTCTCTTCCTCTGATGCAGGTAGACTTGGACCTAGCTCCTACTGCCATCCCTTGCCTCTTTTCCTCCATCTTTGACCCACACTTAATTTTCCATTCCCACCTCTCCATCTTCACTCTGCTGACAATTTCATACCATGTTCATCTCCATCCACCAGTTCTTTATCACACTAAAGTTTAGGAATGAACAAAAAAAATGCCTTTGACATTCGCACACATGAATGTGATTAGTGTCCATGTGATGTGGTTTGGGAATGGCCAGGGGATTTCCAGTCCGCTGTGGGCTGGAAAACAGTAAAGCCTGAAGAAATTACTACTGCTGGCAGGATGCAGCCTTCAATGGAAGAAAAAAAGTGCCTTTAGAAGACAAGTAAACCAAAGAATAATTAGAGGCAAATGTAATTTAGAGTCTGCCCTACGTCTGACCTCCACGGTTATTCTAGATAAGTCTATTATGTCTACTATGTCCAAAAGATAAAGTTCGTTAAAATATGTTTGCATTCATATTCCTGTTCATGTTCTCTTCACCTGAGCCTGATTACTGAGTAAAGTAACTGCTTCACATTACATCACATCAAATTTACTTCAGCATTCAACATCAAACAATTTTCTTCATGTTACAACCACAGTGTATCCCTCATGCAAATGCAAAACACCTCTTTATGAATATACATGAGTCCAGATTGCCATATGTGTCATAAAATGTTATGCTAACTTTGATAGACTCATAGGTTCGGTTATAAACCTCTAAAATTACTCTTAATAATTAAACTAAAATCGGAAACACTCCACTTTTTACTGATCTTTAATTATTAAAGACTTATTTAAGTGAAAGGAATAAGAAAGGGTTGTTTACGTGACAGCGTAATTTCTGTTTTCCAAAATAACCAAAACATCAAAAATGTAAGTTAGATGAGAAAAAAGTTTTCCAAACAAACAGGAAACTACAAAAGCATAAATCACATTTGGAAATCGATGTACTTCTAACACGTACTTTGACTTACGTTTAAAAAGAATATATATAAATGCTGCACTACTTTCCAAACCCTGTCACCCATCCTTGAACCTTTGCTAAAAGTATCTAATAATTGGCCCGAAATCAGAAGTGATCACTCCTCCATACATATATTAGTATTTTAGTTCAGTATGTCATTGTGTAGCTCACCACTAGTGGCGCCAGTTTTTCCGCCTAGTCACACCTAAACCGAATCTTTTCTATCTTCCCGCCATCTGTAGGTCCAGGAGTGGCAGGTTACCTTACAGCAGGAACTGGCACCACGGTAATGCCCAGCGTCCCACCCCCCGTGGACAACGATATTGGAGACCAAGGCTGATGGACACACACACACAGTCACGCTCAGGCACCCAGACTGCCCTGCAGCTTCACGGCCGCAGCTCAGAGTATGGGACTGTTCAGCTCCCAGACAAGGGGATGGAGAGAGAGAAAGATGGAGGAGAGCAGGTCGTCATTGAACGTCACCAAATCCTCTGCAACACCACCTCCAGTATCCCTCTCCTCTCCCCTTTAACAATGGCACTCAAGTCTTCATAAACACTTTTTTTTGTTTCTGTGCTACTTTTCCTGTTTGTTCTAATGACACACAGAAGAGTTTACTTTTTGTATGAATATATTTTTTACTCTAGATTTTGTTTTGTTTTTTCACGAGAAAGACAGTTGAAGACTGAGGCTTATTGTAGGTTAACTTGCTCTTCTCTGTTATCTTATTCCTCTTTGTCATATCCTGATTGGCTACACTTACACTAATTCCTGAACAGAGGGCCGTTGGCCACGTTTGTGACACATTAGTGCACAGGACCTATCCACCTATTACATAAACATGTCATTTGCTAGTCTACATAATAGTCTCATATGGAAAATGTTAAAATCAGAAAATAAGTGTATGAAGTCTGCACCCACAAGAAAATGTGTCTTGAAGCCTCGTACTGATGCTGACCTCTTGTCTGGTTTGGTCAGGTCTAGTTCGATCCACCCAAAGTTGACACAGATCTGCTCTCCAAATGTCCAACCTCTTATTCCTCTGATCTTAATTCTTAGTTCATTTTGCTGTCTCTTTGAAGGCTACCCTTTCTGCCTCATATTTTATAAAGTAATTCTTCCCCCAGAATGCAAAAAGCACTAGAATATTTATAAGTGAATAATAACCACGGGAAATGAGCTTCTACTAAGACATGACGAATGACTCTGATTATGAATCTATGTGAAAGACTAGTGCAATTTGTGAAATGTTCAATGTAATATTGCGTATATAAACTTTCTATATTGAATGTACATTAAAAAATAAATAAATCAGTCGCACTTGTACATAAAATTTTAAGAATAAAAGGGAACCCACACTGTTGTTCTTTGGTATTTACATTTGTTTGTCGAAGTCACACATCTTAACAGAATGAGCTGTTTATTGTTTTGTCAAATTTGATCAAAATTAATGTATTTTCTCTGTATTCCTGTATTGAGGGTTAAATAATCCAATAATTGGATTGGATTTCCATTCCAAGCCAGGTTATGACATCATCACCTAATGATCTGATCTTTTGCAGGCTCATTAAGTCAGCTGATTGTGGTACTTTTAGAGTCAGGATATTAAAATTCTACCACTATAAAGGCAAAACCACTTTTAAGTAAATCTAATCATTTTAATCCTCAGTGTGGACAAAGTCTTGAGACTTTATTTACACCTTCACATTGCAGGGGGAAATGAAAAAAGACAACATATCTGAATAGTTAACTCAGTAGAAAACTTTAATTAATTAATTGATTAAACTGTTTTAGAGACTTTATGTTAGGTTTCTAGTCAAAGATGGACCCATGACTTCACTTTCCTGGCTACAGACATGCGCCTTGATATACATTTTGCTCACAGAATTTAACATTCCAAACTTCCACTATTAAAGACAAAATTTTGTTTTTAAGAAATTTGAACTTGAAGAGAAAATATTGGTTGCATGTAGGAGCTTGCATATTTTATTACTTTTAGAGGATACACAATTTTAGTTTAGAAACTCATCCACCACAAGAATAGTCTATCTTAAACTTGCACAGACCTTTACATTTTGTTATATTGTGTATGTATATATTATGCAAATATTTTGTCTTTTTCTGTACATCTCAGAAATATGTCAACAGTAAGGTTGCAGAGAGATGCATTTCTTTTCTGGAGGAAGATTGTCTGATAATACATATATATTGAATGAAGCTATAGGCCCATGTCTAAAATGGTTTAAACCATGTTAAATAGTGCTGTTTTCACATAAGCCTCTAAATTCATCATTTGCAAAGTTTGCAAAAATTCTTAATTAAAATAATTAAAGCTATTATTGTGTACATTAATTTAATAAGTCTGGCTGGATATGTATTTCTAGCTGGATCTGATTTTATATTTGTAGACTTGTTTTGTGCTATATAAGTAATTTATATTATAAAATGGGCTTGATAGATATCCTAAATTAGGATTTTGGTCTTGCCTCAGAAGCCTATAATAATTAATTATAAAAATAATAATTTGGACTAAAGCTGCTGATTAGAATTAAATATGATTTTTTTTTAAATATAAAACTATCTAGACATGGTTTTTATTTAGGTTCATGTGATATGATGCCACATGGGATCAGAAATGTAGGATTTGAGCCATTATAGTGCAGATGAGTATAGCCCATTGACATGAATCTAACCAATCGGCTTTTACTAAATGTTTTCATTTTTTATGCATATGTTATTCTGCTTATATTTAAACTAATGTATACTCGTATCACTTTGGTTATTTTTTATTTTTACACGTAAAATACTTTTACAGTCTATGGTTAAAACCCCGCGACCCTGTACGACTCCACACGGTCAAATTAGCAGGCAACACCGGAAGTTACGCCGTTGGCGCGAATAACAACAACAAAGCCGATATATGTATTTTGCCAAACTGTTGTCATTAAATTAATATAAAATGTATTTTAATGTCTTCAATACTATGGAGACTAGTAACCGTTTGTTTATGATAATATGAATATGTCTTTGAAGCATTTTTAACGTTTTAGCGTAAAGTTACCGGCTGCATGTTTCGATGTTAACGTTAAGCTAACATTAACCCGGTTACACAGTTTCTTTCAAGTCTGTCTAAAACTGACAGTAGCTTTAGATAAACTGCTATATTTCGGAACGTTTCTTGTTGACGAGCCGTACTAACGTTAAACTAATTCCCCATGACTAGTCAGAGTGTAGACTCTTTAGTTTCCTGACAGTCTGGGTCCATCAGGAGGTAAAGTTAACAGTTAACGTAAGTAGCATTTAATTAAGTTAACATTAACGCGAATTGCTATTTTAAAGATAGTAGTATACTTATAAATAAAAATAACGTTGTACCAGTCTATAGCCACTGTAGTACTTGCTTGCTAAAATGTCAACAGCTTTAAAAGAAGACGCATAGTCATGGCATGACGTTATTCTCTGTGAGTGATAATTGTCGACTCAGAGGCTACTGCTGCTATTAAGGCCAGCTAATGCCAGTCTTTTCACGGGTCCTTGTTCACATACAGGTTGACCATGTCCAAAGGAGACAGGGAAGGCTTCATTGTGAAGTTTGTGGAAAATAGAGGGAAAAAAACAGAGTATGCTGTCAAGGCCTATGAGGTAAACTCACATTATCTGCCTCTAAACCTATTATTGATGATCACATTTTTTGCCACTGCTCTGCTGTCTCGTTGTTTGCAGTTGATGAAAATGTTTGTCTCATGTTTACACAGGCCATTTTGGCGCTGCAGTCAGAGAAATACTTAAAAACCATCGACGAAGATGCTGTTCTACAGATGGACCAGAACGACAAGTCTCTGTTTGTCTTCAGCAGCTTCACCACCCCAGGGTTTCTGCACTGCACAAAGGTATAACTCAACATTCGATGCATCAAAACCTGGAACTTGAATTTCACAACTCTTCTGTGTCTCACTCTTTGTTATTTTTCGTGTAGCTTGGCTGCCGAGTGGTGAGTCCACTGGTGGTGTTGTACTGCCTGCAGCAGCAACATTGTGTACCCAAAGCAGAGAAGCCTGTCTATAACATGGCCATGGCTGGCATCACTATTTCCTGCACCAGCCTGGATAAAACAACACGGGTTAGTTCACTGTATCTTTTAAAATCAGCAGTCTAGTAAATACCAAATACATCAGCAAGGATATGAATAAGACATAAAACATGAATCGGCACAATTAAAATAAACAAATAGTAAAGGATAAAATCAGGATGATGTATTGCAGATACAAATCAAGGATTGGAAATATCTTAACTTAAAAGGTGCTCTCTCAGGCAGGGTGGGGATATATTAGGTGTCTTTCTCAGCTGCCTGTTGTAGGTGATACAAACAAATAAATACATAGTTTTAGGGAACACAGAAAAGAGCTAGTAGGAAATAGGAAGCCACACATGTTGATGAATGCAACCTTAATCATTGTTATGAAATAGTGCAACACCTTCAAAGACGTACCTTTCATGGCCCTTAATGGTGAAAGTCTGAAAAGGTCTGAAAACCAATTCATATCAAAGGAGCTTGTCCTGTTGGTACATAGATGTTCAACCTAAAATACATAAAGGGGGGTAAGAAGAAGAAATATAAGTTAGCACAATGTCTTCTAAAGTATTTTATATGTTTGTCTCTGAATGTCTGTCTCTCTACAGACAGAGGTGATGGATCTGGTGCAGCTCATGGGTGGACGGGTCTATCTTGACCTAAATGTATCTGTTACACACCTGATAGCAGGAGAGGTGGGCAGCAAGAAATATCTGGTAGCTGCCAGCCTGGGGAAACCCATCCTGCTGCCCACATGGGTCAAAGCCTGCTGGGAGAAATCTCAGGACAGGTATGCACTCTCATTAAAACTGACATTTATGTTCTAATGTCCACTTCAGAAAGATACATAGTGATTTTTGTGATGTTTTCTTGCCCAAATAAACTCCTCCATGTACTCTTTATTGTAAAAATCTTGGAGGTTCACGAGTCCATCAAATTATACAATTGTAATATAACATTGTGAAAATTTTATAATAATAATAAAACAATGCACTTTAACTTAGATAATAATTATTATTATATTATTCTAATTATTTTGAACACCTTGTTCTGCCTCCTTCAGTCTCTTCAGGTATACAGATCTACCCATTGAGGACTATCTGTGCCCTGTGCTGCGTGGATGTACTGTTTGTGTAACAGGTCTTTCCAGCATGGAGCGTAAAGAGGTGCAGCGGCTCTGTGAGCAGCATGGAGCCACCTACACTGGGCAGCTCAAAATGAATGAGTGCACCCACCTCATCGTTAGTGAACCAACAGGCAAGTCACCAGCAGTTTCAACTGGCCAATTTCTTCCAATTAAAAATGTCTGTAAGACTCAGTAATCGGACATTAGGTAACTTGTCATTGTAGTTAAGTATACATATCTATTAAATTCTGTATTATAGCTTTTGCTGAATTTGAAAATAATAATTATTTTATAAAACATCTTAATGAATGTAACTAATAATCACATTGTTTCAAAATAAAAGTCGGAATAGTCATTCTAGCTGTATTCTTGATTATGGTACCCTCATTGGTGTCAGTTTGACTCTGAGTATTTGTTTGCAGGTCAGAAGTACGAGTGTGCGCGGAAGTGGAACGTGTATTGTGTTTCCCTGCACTGGCTGTTTGACAGCATAGAGAAGGGCTTTTGTCAAGACGAGAGCAGGTACATTGTGGAGCGTAACGCAACAAAAACCACTCGACCGCACACTTCAACACCTACGGGCACCAGCAAGAAGGAGGGTGAGCCCTAGACTGATTTGTCTGTTTACTGTATTTAAAAATTTTACTTTTTCATCCTAATGGTGTGATGGAGGTTGAGCACAACATTTGGTACCTCTTATAAAGTGATTTTTTTTTTTTCCAGAGGGTTCATCTCTGTTGGGCGTGAGTCACATCTCTGTCAATGCCAGCATGACAATAAATGACACAGCCCTCACCAACGGTACCATCAGCCACCTGGAAGCTCCTGATCCCATCGATAGTCTTGACCTCACCGTCTGCCCAGCTGATGATTTACTGGATGGCTGTAAGGTAAGTAGAAGACTATTTATTTTCCTCAAATGACTTGTGGTGAACTCTTGATTAAAATTGTGAAAGGCAAATTTCACAAGTGTTAAATGTTGTGCAGCTGTATCTGTGTGGCCTGCCCGGGAAGAAACTGGAGAAGCTACGGCGTCTGGTGAACGCTGCGGGAGGTCTGCGCTTTAACCATCTCAGTGAGGAACTCACACATGTGGTCATGGGAGAGCTGGACCAGGACCTCAAGAACTTCCTCTCCAAAGCAACACATAGGTCTGAACTTCAAAATGAAGAATGTTATTTTACTTAACATGAAAACAAGTTGCCTCCTCACGTACAGTAAAAGATCTGTATAAAATAAAAAATAAAATATAAATAAAATATTTGATCTAATTAGAGGACCTTAGGGATTTTAACAGGTTTAAGATAAGTTTAAGTTATTTATATATCCTTAATGGTAATGTTGGTTTGCAGAATCATATGTAGTCACAGTTAAGAAAACACACCTGCAAAACAAGAAATGAAGAAGAGAGTAGAAACTATAACATTCAGAGAAGGTGTGCCATGAGATAGAAAATACTGTTACTGATGTTATGTCTGTATGTTACTTTCCAGACCCCATGTAGTAACAGTGCAGTGGCTGCTGGACAGTTTCAACAAAGGCAGTCTACTTCCAGAGGCAGGTTACCTCCACCCTGACTGTCTACCCCCTGCTCCAGCTGCTGTGTCTGTGCCTGCCCGTCGCACTCCGACTTCCCGTCCCTCAGTTGGTCCCCCCGTGGCCAGTCCCAGCACTCCAAGGCATAAGAGAGCAGAGGAAGAGCTGCTCTCGCAGTACATGGATGATGACCCTACAGTAGGTAAGTATCTGTTGTTGAAGAATTCCCTGTCGGCCTAGTGTAATTGAAATACCATTAAGAGATGTTACAAGATATAGTTTTATATATTGCAGCTAATCTCATTTTCCTTTTATCCTCCAGTTGAAATGCCTCCACCAGCAGAGGGCAGCAGCAGGAGGTCCGTCAGTATAGCTGCAGAGCCTCAGCCTGAACCGTGGGCACAAAACCAGACCAGAGGACCAGTGCATGACTCAACCCTGCAGGAAGCCAGCGAGGCAGGCCTGTTTTTGGGGAAAGGTTTCCTTCTGGTGGGCTTCGGCTCTGAGTCCGAAGCCCAGCTTTCTTTGTTGGTGACAGAAAATGGAGGCAGGGTGCTGATGGGCCGAACACGTGTTGTGGCAGACTATGCAGTGGTCCCACTGCTGGGCTGTTCAGTGGAGGCTACAGTGGACGAGGTGGTCACTGATACCTGGCTGGTAAGATCACATCTATATTGTTTTAAAATCTTTGTGCGTAGGGAGGAGGGTGAGGCATACATGGTGATTTCAGGGTCATCTGTTGATTTGTCAGGTGGTCGAACAAAGGGGCAAATACATGAGTTAATCATCCTTTTGACAAAGAGTTTCTTTGTGTTTCTTGTGTACATGATTAATAATTAAATGAACTGTCAGATGATTGACATATTTTGATAATTAATAGTTAAGGTAAATTATCAAGCAAAACTACCAAATATCCTCCGGTTCCAGCATCTCAAATGTGAGAACTTACTCCTTTTCTCTGTTTTTATATTCTGTTAAATTGAATTAAATCTTTGAGTTTTGGACTATCGATCAGAAGACGTCACCTTGAACTTTGGAAACGTTGTCTTTATGTTTTAAAGACTAAGCTATCTGTAAATTAAAAAGTTATTTTCAGATCAATTGATAATGAAATAATTAGTAATAGTTAATAGTTTGTTGCAGCCCTGCACAATTGAATTTAGTTGATTGATTTTGTATCAGTGATGTTTTGCTTTTGTTAATTTTCAGGCCATGTGTGTGGAGAAGGAGTGTGTTCTGCAGCTGTCCTCTAACCCTTTGTTCACCCCTGTTCCTGTGATGGAAGGACGTTTTCCTCTCAAAGATTGCGTTCTTTCTGTCAGCCAGTTCACCGGAGCAGAGAGGGAGTCTTTGGTGGAGCTGGCCAAGCACCTTGGAGCCAGGTATGGCTCCCCCCTAGAGACACCGCAAAAGCAGTCAAATTTTATTTGGATCACCTTTCAATAGAAGAAAAAGAAATAAATGAATACTAACTGCAAGTGTTGGGCATATCCGATCCATATAACGTTACAGCACCCTCTGACGCATTTCTACTGTTAAAAGCCACCAGGTCCCTGCCGCCACTTGACTACAGTATGTTTACCTTGTGGGAAATCCCTCACCTAACACAGCCCAGGCTTGTCTCCTCCTCGATTAGCGCATCCAAAAGCACAACAACCATCCAGCATTTCCAGCAACTCAAAGTAACAGTGTGTATCACTTGCTTATTGGTTGGCAGGCAGCGGAAAATAATGTCTTTTTTGCCTCCAAGGGAGCGTTTTCCTTGTAATGTGACGTTGCGTGAAAACTATGAATAGCAGTTGTTTTAGTATTCAGGACAAGAATGTCAAAAGAAGAATTTAGAGGAAGTCCGGTTCTGTGCTCATTGTTCTCTCTCCTGCATACATTTGTCCTCATGTGCCCTGCCTGCCTAGTGTGACATACCAATCTTAAATCTGGGTCTTCTCTTCCTCCTGCAGCGTCCAGGATTACTTTGTGCGCCTGGCCAACCAGAAGAAAGGCATGCTGGCCAGCACTCATCTGGTGTTGCAGAGCCCCGAAGGTACAAAGTACCGGGCAGCAAAGAAATGGGGGCTCCCTGCCGTCACCATGCACTGGATACTACAATCCGCTCGGACTGGCCAGAGGGCGGAGGAGGGGCGTTTTCTAGTTGACCTGCCACCCTCACCAGGTTAGAAAAGTGTCTTGCTTGAAGCTTATATGTGGTTGTTTATGCATGTTTTATTTGCATTAGCTGGGTATAAAACATGATGGATGACAATAGTTGTAGTAAATTACTTTTTCTCTTACATGCGTTAAAGGTCCAGTGTGTAATATTTCTGAGGACAGAAATGCAATATAAGATCCATAACTACGTTTTCAGTGCTGTGTAAAGACCTTACATAATAAACCATTATGTTTTTATTACCTTAGAACGAGCCATTTATATCTATATAACCACGGATCCCCCCTTTCATGGACGTCACCACATTGGATGATCATGTTTCTACAGTAGCTGAAAACGGACAAACAGCGCTACAGAGCGCATTTCGTCACTACGTTCTTGTTCTACTTCTGGTAGAATTCAGGCAGTGTAGACACTCATCACTATGTTGAATACATACGTTAGAAGAAGAAGTAGTAGTAGTAATGCTATACAGCAGGACTCTGAAAATATTGCTCCAATGCAACACTTATTTGCAACCATTAGATGGTGGATGATAATATAAGACATAATATTGACTTTAACATTAACACTAACATTAACATATTATTTGGTTAGCACAGTCGGTATGGCGCATGACTCGCAACCTGCGGGTTGAGTGCTCAATCCCACCTTGGGACAACCTTTTTTTTTTTCTCTCTCTCTCTGTTCAACAAACAGATTCTGCAGCAAATGTCAGATCATGGCATGTGCTGCACTGTTTTTGTTTTGGTGTTTGATCCACCTCCATCAGCCTACGGACACTTTTGCAATTCCCTAATATCTTCAGGCAGACAACATTTTGGGGAATCACTTTCTCTGATGGCTCTTTCAGAGGTGTGTCAAGCAGGCTGCAGACTCTTTTAATGTCATTCAGAATTTTTCAAAATAAAAGCTCAGTTCAACTCCAAATACAGCATTACAGTAAACAAGTTTCTTTGAGTGCTTTTAATTTGTAGGCAAAACCACTAAAGAGGAAGTGATTATGTGAGTAACTGTTGTTGTCATGAGTGAGATCTATTTCAGCGCCACTATCAATATAAATCCGTATTTATTTATTTATATTTTTGCCACTATCAAAGCACCATAATCTGACAACGGATCAGATATTATGTTGGCGGGCAGATTTGGTGAGGGTCCATAATCACAGAGAGAATGAATGTCTTTCCCTTGTCAATGTTTGTACAAACTTTATCTAATGTGTGGTTTATAATGGACTGTGGTGCAGAAACAGTGACAGTGTTTCACACTCTTGGCTTACATTTTCCATGTTATCTGTCAGTGGCAAAGACACAATAACATATGGTTTTACTGAATAATTAAGTAAATATAATTTCTTAATAAATATACCTAAATATACCTTGACTGGCCACTCTGCTGTTTCAGAAGAGACACCTTTTGTGCTGTGTCAGCCACTGTAGCTGTCCTACGCTCTATGAAAGTTTAGGGGGCAGTGGTAGACTGAAAAGTTGGTTGCAATTCCCAACCATCACCACTAGATGCCACTAAATCTTACACACTGAACCTTTAATTTATCTGAGAGGTTAATTGAAAATTAAAATTACATGTATTTCCATGGAAATTCCACCAGTTATTTTTGAGGAACCTGGCTGGATTAACTAATATATCATTTGGTTGTAGAGGTTGTTGGATGTGATTCTGCTGTTCTAATTTGAGTCTGATTTTAGACCAAGTTTTCTGTGCTATGAAAATTACTTTATTGTCTTTGTCTACAGAGAGGGATGATGAAAGTTTCGTTGGAGGTTCCCAGAAGCCAGCCATGCCTCCACCAGCACGTTCGTCTCCAGAGATCCCTCTGCTGGGTCTCCAGAGCGGTAAGGCCGTGACCCCGCTGGATTTAGGTCGCTTCCGGAGCAAAGTGTTCCGCTCGGTGTTGGACGAGATGAAGCCTAAAGAGGATGTCGGCACCCCAAAACAAAACCAGGAGGGCGGCAGAAGGAACCCCCTTCAGAAGGAAACCATGCTGCAGCTGGACACTCCCTCTCGGTTCCTCAGCAGAGACCAGCTTTTCAGGCCCTCTTTCAATGTCAAGGTTGGGACTAGAATTACAGTTTTTGCTTTATGTTATAGGTTTGTAGCAATAAATTGTGCACTCATATTTGATTGATAATCCTGTAAATACATGGACTATTCCTTTTTGTTAAGGATGCGCTGGGAGCATTGGAGACTCCAGGGGGAAGAGCCAAACCAGGAGAGAGGGTGGAGACCCCACTGACTGATGTCATCAACAGGAATCTGAAGGTGGCTATGGCCAATAGCACCCGAAATAGCGTCACAGATATGGAAGCCATCTCTGCTAGCCCCCAACTTTCCAAGGCGACTGAGAAAGAGGTAAACTAAACACAAAAACATACACTCTGTCTGTTGGCATACTTGATCTCAGAATCACTTAATTTATCAAATACGATGTTTGTTAGGTACCAGAAAAAGAAGGCAGTCCTCTGACTGGTGTTGTTGTCTGTGTGGGAAAGAAGCTGAGCAAAATGCAGAGTGAGCTCAATGCCATCGCTGCCTCACTTGGAGCTGACTTTAGGTATTCAACACATTTGTGCTTCAATTATCCTGATGTGCCTTCTTGTACAGTATAAAGGGATAATGTTCGTTGTAATCATTCTTTTTTGGGCATTTTTGCCTCTATTGATAGGATAATGGATAGAGAGGAAATGGGAAGAGAGATAGGGGGCGACACGCAGCAAAGGGCCACAGTCTGGACTTGTACACGGGGTGCACGCTCTACCAACTGAGCTAATCACACCCCTGTAATGATTCTTTTTGTCCATACTGGCCGCAAAGAGACTCCTTAAAGCAAATTATCTGTGAGTGATGGGGGACAAACTGTCCTCTGTGGAAAAATACATACATTTTATTAAAAGGTAATAGAGGCTTATGGACAGACGGAAGGATTACAGTGACCTTTAACCCTTTTAATGTACATATACGTCAGGATTGTTTTAAGAAAGATTTGAATGTTATTTCAGTAAATATGGATGCAAATAGTACAAACATCTTTTTATGAACTTGATTTTAGGTGGGCTTGTGATGATACGGTGACACACTACATTTACCAGGGCCGTGTGGGGGACAACACCCGGGAATACAGAGGAGTGAAGGAGCGAGGGCTGCATGTGGTCTCCCAGTACTGGCTGCAGGCGGTATGTTCCCCAGTAGAAAATATAAATGGAACCCAAGCTTCACTTTGCTGCTCAACATTTGTTTTACTCTTAAGTGCACTGCACAGGATCATATTAAACAATTTACTGACAATCTTTGTAGAGCAGTTCCCAAAGTGATCTTTTTAAATTGTTCAGTTTTGTTTGATCACAGTTTAAATCCTCAAGATACTGAGTTTATCATGATATAAAACAGAGAAAAGCAGCAAATCCTCACATGTGAAACCTAAAATATTTGGCATTTTTGCTTGAAAAATTACTAAATTTCTAAAGGATCAGTGAATTATCGTTTCAACAAACCACATTCAGATTAATCTTCAATTTACTTAAGCTGCTTTCCTTCAAACCGAGAACATAAACACGTCCATAAACCACAAAGAAAAGGATTAGGGCAAAAATGTAACCACCATGCCGCTCTCATGAAGAATTAGGCAAAATATTTTGTTTACTGTCATTATACAAGCTTGTAAAGAAATTATGTCCTCAAGAAGATACAGAAGTGATATTACGATACACTTGATTTAATTTGGGATCTCATTTTCATAGTGGTGGGTGCCGCTTTGTGCCGTCAGTTATCATTCAGTATTCACTTTTCACCTGGGGGAAATAATTATCGCCCCAACAAAAGCAGAATATTTAATCAAAAACAGCTTTGATATGCTAATCGTGTAGCCACATGGGAGTTTCAGCTATGTTTCCTCTGCAATCGTCTCATTCAGTTAATTCTTGTGACAGCGCACACAGTACATAATCAACACACAGAAGTTTAGAGCCAACAAGCTAACCTGTCGTTTTGTGCAGTGTGCTGAGGAGCAGCGGCATGTCCCAGAGTCTCTGTATCCTTTCACCTACAACCCCAAGATGAGCCTAAATCTCAGCCAGGTGCCGAACAGCTCTCAAAGATCTCCGCCTTCAACACGAACACGACTCGAAGACATCCCTGAGGCAAAGAATGACAAGGTGCGTCTAAATATGCAGTTTCATCTCTGGCTGTGTATGTTGTGTCTAAGTTCAAGATTCAGTGGGACATTAGATTTTGTTCTGCGTTGAATTTCTCTTGGGAATCAATATTTAATGTTATTAGTAAGGTCTAATGAAGACACACTTTATTAATGCAGGGGTGTCTCATTAAATAGTCTTTCTGTTTCCATATTTAATTGGTCCCTCAGCGTGAACACACCACAGAAGAAGCTACAAACTTGCGTCGTGTAAGCGACGGAAGCACAGATCAAGAAGAGATGCCTGATGCTGCAGATAAAAGTGGTGGGTGTCTATTTTTTTCAACTTTCATTTACGTCCAGAAAGCTTCTGCTCGTATTTTATGATTTATCTCTTGTGTCCAGACATTTCAGAGACTCTAGAAATGAGAGAGAACCTGCAGAGACAGCTCCAGGAGATCATGTCAGCCACCAAGCTGACAACAGGGAGGCGTACCTCGGTCAGGCTCAGCAGGATGGGATCAGGAGGGGCCGACTCGGGCCCCTACACACCCGATGGGAACCGTGTGGGACGCAGTGGGAGCAGACGTACCCTGGAAGCTCTGAGGTAAGAGAGCCATGTAGTGAAAAGATAGTTAGTTTATGTCCAAACTGTAACAGTCGTTAATGTAAAGCGTCTGAAAGTTAACTGGTAACATTTCACCTCGTTCTGTCCTAATTTCAGGGTTTCCAGAGCAGCAGCTATGGACATAAACACAGAGCCATCTCAGAGTGAACAGATCGTTTGGGATGACCCTACAGCCAGGGAGGAGAGGGCCAAGCTGGCTGATAATTTACAGTGGCCTGGCAGTCCTTCCCAACACTCGGAGCCCCTCGCACATCCTCCTCCTCCCACTGCAGAAAACGGCCCTCAGTTCAGGGACTCCATGACGGACTCTGAGCTGGTGGAGATGGGTAAGAGATCAGGAGCCGGTGGCACCAACTGGATTTAAGTTAAAACACAGCGTAGTTATAACTTACGTGTTCACTAAAAGGCGATTAACACATCACAAGTGTCAGCAGATAAAGTAATTCTTACATAAAGATGAGTTCTTGCTAACTGCCGGGTGGTGTTGTTACCTAGCTAACTGAACCAACCAACCAAAGTAACTTTAATAAAGCCCAGCTGAAGATTGAAGAGTAAAAGAAGCTGTGGTACAATTCACAAAATAATTCACATTACAAATCATTATGCCAATAATGTTAGATTAAATTACCAAAGCTTCAGTTAGGTTACTGTAATCACATATATGTCCCACTCAATTTAAGCTACATGAATACTGCTAATTCTGAAACATGTATTTTTTATCATGTATACATATATAAATAAAACAAAGTCATACCTACATTTAGAAATGTGTGGCTGTTAGGCTTGATATGTTGTTTTTGCCTGATTTAGTAAATTGCTAGTAGTTACCACGATCACAGGACATTACACATAAATGTAGTGATGTCCTTTAGAGACCTCTAACCCTTAAGATAGGTTTGTTTATTTACCTGCATCTAAAGCGAGCAGTTTCACCATAAACATAGAAACACATGGCTTCTGACTTACTGTAAGTTTGGTTTTAACTGATGAATTTGGACTTTCGTTGTAATCTCTGTATCCTCTCCCAGCTGCTTGTGACGTCATCGACCAGCATATGGGCCAGAAAGTCACAACGCCTCCAACAAAGGAGCGAGAAAATGACATCCTCACTCCTAATGCCCCCAGCATCGCCTTCCCTCTCGCCAACCCCCCAGTAGCACCGGAGCCACAGGTGAAGATTTAAATTAACAACTTGTCTGCAAACATCTGCATACACATACTAATAAAGTTACATCACATATTTAACATGTCGTTTTTAATGTACAGTACATCAGTTGTAATACGTACCATATACTGTCTCTGTCAAACAAGCTACTGGTGTTAAAAGATCCTTTCTTTTTCTCAGGAGAAGCGAGAGGAAGAAAAGCAGCCACCCAGATTTCAGCTGTCCTCCCTCAGTCCCCAGGAACGCATTGATTACAGTCACCTCATTGAGGAACTTGGTGAGTCTACCATCTAATTAGGGCTCTATCAGTGTTTCATCATGCTGCAGTTTGTAAAAAATGCAATATATCACAAGCCTGAAGTCAGAGGAGCTAATCCCTGATGACTAAAATGGAGGAGCCGCCCCAAGGGTCTGGGAATATTTCCTCCTGCAGATTCTTCCTCTGACAAAAATGTTGTGAGCTCAGTATTATCAAATAAACCACTGCCGCATCACACGCTGAACCATTGTTGAAGCGTATATGATATATTCAACCAAACTGCAGCATTGACAAAAAGAAATTAAGGATAAAGCGACGGATTGATGACATGCTCTTCAGTTCTTTATAGAAAGCTGTGTTTAATTCTGCCACTAAAGATGAAAGTGATAGGTCTCCCACACAGCAGCTTATAGTCAGCAAGGGATGAATTAAGGACACTTTGATATGGACTTTGTTGTTCAGGGAGTATTATACATTTATATAGCAATCTTTTATGATATGGTCTGTAACTATAACTCCAGTTTAGGTACAGCATATCTAATCCACAGTTTTCTTTTTGTAGGTGGTGTAGTCCTGGACAAGCAGTCTTTCGACCCCAGTTGCTCCCACATCATCGTAGGGACTCCGCTGCGCAACGAGAAGTACCTGGCAGCAATGGCGGCTGGCAAGTGGATCCTGCACCGCTCGTACCTGGAGGCCTGCCGCTCTGTGGGTTGCTTCATCCAGGTCAGGATTTCTCACTGTTTAGTGCCTCCAGCAGACAGTTAACACTGTATTTGCTGTGATGTTATTCACCCTGCGAATACAGTATTGATTTGTAACTTTAAAGCTGGTGTGTCTGGTAGCATGTAAGTTAATATCCTGTTGTCCCCAACACTGACCATTTTGATGTCCAGGGTTTTCATTAGCTATGTTCATGTATCAGGTTTATGGTTCGGCATGAAATGGTCTGAAAGGTGAAATAAACTACAGCAGAAACATACATTAACTAAAATAGAAAAAATATTAAGTTAAAAGTAACTCAAACAAACTCAAACTCAAACAAACTACCTTGACTACTCTCTCATACTAGCCAACTACATTTTAGCATATAGAATTGAGCATCACAAATGTGTGTTTTTACTTTAACGTTTTCTAACGTTTCCAAAGTTTCACAGAAGTTCACTCATCAAACTCTCACAAAATGGTTGATGCAAAGTGTAATTTTTGCTGAACAAGATTTTAAATTTCTACATCTGTTTGTGTTCCAGGAGGATGAGTACGAGTGGGGCAGTAGCTCCATTCTGGATGCGTTGCCCTCCATTACCTCTCAGCAGAGGAGACTGGCGTTAGCTGCCATGCGCTGGAGAAAAACCCTGCAGGGACGCTCTGAGCAAAGGGTATACTTACAGCAACATACACACACTGCTACCAGAACAGTCCTAATTACTGTTTTTCGTATTGTATTATCTACTACTTGAGTGGTAAAATGTACCAAGTTTTCGTTTTCTGCTTTTCAGGGAGCCTTCAGTGGATGGACAGTCATGTTAAACATCGACCACAACAGAGAATCAGGCTTCAGGCGGTTACTGCAGTCTGGCAGGGCAAAGGTTGCTGCTTGTTCCTATTGTTGTGTTTTACACAGTGGCCTGTGGAGAATCTCTGTCCAACAAATAAGTTGTAAATTGAACAGTAGGGTTACATTTAGTTGTGAATCTTTACATTTTCTCCAGAAAAGGATTCAGCCGAGGCAGTAAGCCACTCTGATCTCGACACATTTTGCCTTGTGATCAGTTTAGTTTGTAGATGATGCCTAAACAACAGTCCCAATCACTAAATATTTCTTCTGCTGTGTGAAATAGTGCCACTCCTCTTTTTTGTTTTGTTTCCTAACCTTTTATGATGTTAGCAGAGGTGGTCTTTGTTTCAGACAAGGTCGCTTACCTCCGCTATAAAACACTGTGAAACAACTAATATTAAGACTGCGAGAATTGAAACAGCAGCTAACCAAAAAAGCCTGAAAAAATGTTGGTCAAATTAATTAAACTTATGCTGGAACACATCTAAAAGAAAAACAAGGTTGGGGAATGGACTGAGCCAACTAGCCAGTTTTCATACCTCGCAAATACAACCATGACCCTCCTCTCCGCTATATTTTCCAGGTCCTGCCGAGTCCCTCCCCGTCCTTGTACAAGGGGACCACTCACCTGTTTGCAGACTTTAATCGGCTGAAGCCCGGAGACTTCAGAGTCAATGTATCTGAGGCTACCTCCCACGGAGTCACATGCTTGAAGCCAGAATACATCGCAGACTACCTGATGCAGGTTAGTGGAGCTGTTGATATGGATTATCACTGGAGTGAATTACTAAATCTTAGATCATTTCATTGGAATGTTTATGTACATGTCACAGGGTGATGCATCAGTTCAACCATACCTGCATGCTGGATCTGTGTAAAATGGATGTCATTGAAGGTTTTACTGCTACTTTTAAGGCAGTTAAATGCCAACAGAATCTCACTTTTATAGACCATTTACTTGTGTCAGGATTTCTAAGGGACATTATTTTGCAAGAAGACCACTTCATTGGTATTAAGTCAGAATTAAGTTCTAACTCAGTAGATTCAGTGTCAAGGCTGTGCTTTTTGTTTCTTCCAGGAGCCAACCCCACCTATCGAGCTGTACTGCCTGACTGAAGCTCCGTCTGAAGAAGCTCCAGGCACTCCATCACGTAAGCGTAAAGCAGCCACAGACAACTCCAGTCTGAAAAAGACACGGCTGAACTGAAATGTCACTACTAAATATTGTCATTAAAATTCTCACGTCTGTGAAAATGATTGTAAATAAAAAAAATTCTTTATCTTGTGTATTAAAAATAAAATAAATGTACCGCTTGTTTTGTATCTTAATGCTGCCTTCACGGAGACTGCAGCTGTGATGGATGATTCAATGATGGTCTGCAGAAAATGTTGAGTCACATTTTGTAATTGGGTGCAATGATATTCTATAGCCTGTAGGGGGCAATACGTCTTTTGTGTAAGACTCAGGCCTGTTCCACAGGCAATGAGTCTCTAATGTGCCGTTTTATTTCTTTAAAAACTATGACTACCAGGCTATTTAATAACTGATTTAATGTTTGGGGTTGACGTATATTTCCGTTATATTCAAACCAAAACTGCTCTCACTGGGGCTGTTTTATCACCTCTTTTGTCGTTAAAAGTGAATACAGTTAATCCAGTGGCTGAAATGAGCTATCCAAACACTCAAATATATTACACCCATGAGTTTATGGGCCACTTGGATTGGCTGTTGATCTCCATGTGCAGTAAACACCAGATTTTGTTTACCCGGTGTTAATTTAGGCCTTTGGTGGAGCAATGTGCTGTTTCATACCAGGGTGCCAGCTGAGGTTAGGTGCCCGTGTTCCCTCCCATATGGACAGATAAGTGGTTTAACCTCATAATAGATGGACCAGCTGACAGCCTCGCTACAGATTCAGGGTTGGGAATCTGTTTGAGAGGTGTGGGATTAGAGGAGAAAGAGCTGTGCGGACAGAGGAGCATGACATAACCTCTAAGGGGCCTCCAGCAAAGAAAGGAGTAGCTTGAGATCACTTAATTGAGGTTTGCACTCTTTACCACCAGCAGAATCACTTATTCAGTTACAGCAGTGGTTCCCATCCTTTTCCATTTATGGTCCTATTACGAGGTACGTGGTTGCATGTGGCAATAAGCTGTGAGCTGTTTCACCACTGGTTTTCAGATTGTTACATTTAAGACCAGAAGAAGGGAAACTATCCAGCATCTCATGAGAAAAATCAGGGGTAAAAATCATCACCTTTCCTACCCTGTTAATGTTTTTGAATCTTTCAGTTGGTCCCAGCCCCCAGGTTGAAAACCACTGAGCTGAAGCACTCTGTATTAAACTGATAAATCTTACCAAAAGGTCTAATGTGTGTCTACTTTAGTATATCTCAAACTAAAAGGTTTGGAAAACCCCTGTTTTAATCGCCAGATTAAAAAAAAAAAACCCATTAAACCTATCTGGGTAAAGAAGCCCACTGAAGCCTTCCAGATGTACTGTATCTGCAACAGCATTATTATTATTTTTAATTAATGCTCATGATGTTTAATGCTCAACCAATTGCAAGTGCAGCCATCCTATTTGTTTCTCCTACTCTTTAACCATGTATGACTGAGAGGCTGTGTGGAGCAGGATTGAATAGGCCTTTCAATGGTCTGCCACTTTTCTAATTGATTAGTGTTTTTTGTGTTATTTGCTTAACATAAGACTCTGGAGCCCAGGTTGTGTCTATGAAGAGCCAAAAACTGAAAAAAATTCAGAAAATAATTTTTGGTATTTGAGAAGCTGTAGGAAAAAGTTTTACTTAAAGCACTGCTGATTAATCGACTAACCAGCTGTTCCAGCTCCTCTAAATCAACTGTCCTGCAGCTTTAACGTCAGTATGTAGTTTCTGCAGCAGAGCATGAAGAAGCAGCCTACAATATCAGTCACAGTCGTTGGTCTGGATGTCTGTGCCCGTTTTCAGTCAACAGGTGCCCCAAAGATGTGGGATAAGCTACTTTGCTGCCTGGCAGGTGGCCAAGAGTTGAGTGTTGTTGACGCTTTGCTTCGTCAATCTGCCCCCCCACCCGGAAGGTAACTTTAAGGTTTTCTTGTCGGGACAGTGAATATTAGCACGGGGGATAGAGCACGACTGTCAGAAGAGGGAGGAAACTCTGCAGAGGTCCTCATTAAAATTCCCTGTCCGTACGCTCACCACGAAAACCTCCTTTAGTGGGTGGCACCGGCGTCCTGCGCGCCTCTTAATTGCGCACCACGCATTAACGAGCGATCACAGTTTCATCACCAGTGGCTGCGGATGACGCTGTCTCGAGGCGGAGAGTTTGCTTCGCGTCCCGCTATTTACGGCGTCAAGTGTGAGAGAGGAAAGGTGGGCGCAGAGTCCCAAAGGTCCAGCTAAAGGGTGGCACCCTACGCATCTCATCCAGCTCCTGGACACCCGGTCCCGCGACCCACAGCGACAAGGTCTGCTCCCGCAGTCCGCACGCTTCTTGTGGCCGCTCACGATTGTGACATTTCTCTGCTGGGTAGGCTACTGGCAACATGTGCGCCTGGATGGTGTGAAGTGTGACACATCGGCTTTGGGGTTTCATTTCTCTCGGATACGCCAAGTACCCGACGTTACGGCGCACCTTGTGTAGGTAAGTATCAGTTTATTTCTCTACTTCAGCTCAGCCAGCTCTCCATCCGCTCTGTGCCTGTAGTGTTTTTTATTGGCTGTTCTTACAATACCTCTGCGTATTGATTATGGTGAGCATCTGATTTGTTGAAATCCTTGTTGGAGGTTTCCAGGCAATTATGACACACAGACAACCACAGGCATCAAAACACTGTCAGTAGCGCCTGCATCCACTGCAATATAACTTAATATGTTGATTTAAAACATCATTTAATGCATTGCAAGGTATCAGGAGAAATGCCATGATCAGAAGTTATGCTACTGCTGGTCAGTTCTCTGGAAGCTGGAGAATCACAATTTCATTGGAAACTGGAATAATTACATACCTATAGTTTAGTGGATTCATCTGATCATGTTTTGTGTGGGGCTCAATGCTGTTTCAGTCTCTCAACAATCCTAGATAAGAGTATCATGGGTAATTAGGAAAATGGGTTCTGAAGTGTTTCATTAGACTTTGGGTAACATTTTGTTCTTAAGTAAAGATTCCTTGGGGTGGTTGGCTGTAGTCCCAGTTTATTTTCAGGAGTGGAAGTGCAAGTTTACTTCCAAAAATAAGAAGTTTTTGAAGAGAGAGATTGCCATCAGTCTCGCAACTTAAAGATCTCTGCCCTGCCTGCCCTTCAAGTGGTTTATTTCTCAGGCAACATGGCAGCAACAAAGCAGATAATAGGAGAAACTCTCTTAAAACGTAACACTACCAGGAACACACTGGCATCACCAAATACCCCATTTGAGTGTGGATCTCCAGCTTTGTTTCCAAACATAGTCGATCGTATAGAGCACAGTTTAAAGTGTGTACTAATTGAACCTGCCGGCCACCCTCTCCATTGTGACAGGAATGTTTGGATGCCTGTTCTCCACACAAACCCCCCATTCCTTTGTTCTGGGGGGACAATCCTCCAGTGCCATGTGTGTGCAGTGGTGGGGGGAGGGAGAGGGGAGGGAGAGGGGTCAACGGGGTTACTGACATCTGTAGCTGACAGCTTCTTCAGGGTGCGCTGACATGCTGTGATACTATGAATGGGTATTAGGGAACATATGAGCAGAGCACTTAATACTAATGAGGACATTTATTCTTTGGGCGTGATGCTTGGGGACCTAGAGAGAGAGAGAGATCATGCAATGCTGCAAACTCTTGGTGCAGCTTCATCCTCAGATTGCAGTTGAATTGGAAAAAAATACTTTATGAAAACATTGACATTATTAGCTCGAAATCCCTTTGTTTTTTCAGCAAACCTTCACTGAATTAAATTGCTTTGACATAGTTTGAAGTTAATCTTAAGTCAAGTTTATTTAGCCTGCAGTAGCCTACATCACATAGTTTGTCAGAAAATTAATCACCAGCTAATTGATTATCAGCGTTGAAGTCATTTATCAAGCGACAAGAATTGGTCTACACAGACTTTTAGCTAAATGCTAATGTCAGCATGCTAATATATAATGAAAATGTCAGTGCCAGCATGCTATTGTATAGCATACAATGTTTACCATGATCACCATCTTAGTTTAGCGTGTTAGCATGCTTACATTTGCACTAAATACAAAGTATAGCTGAGGCTGCTGAAGCTTTCCATTCAGCAGTTGTCAAGAAATGCATGAGATAGTTAAAGAAAAACACAAATGTGAACCTCAAGGTGTTGCTAGTAAATGATAGGAGATCGCCAAATTCATTCGGGTTCATCCTCTGGGAACTGTAGTTGTATAGTATTTGTTGAGATCTTTCAGTCTGTACTAAAAGTGGTGGACCACCTTTACCACACGTTAGAGCTACACTGCTGGCATAGCTAAAACACCAAAGATTCTCTGTGTTCAGCTACTCAGTTGTGAGGATTTGCTGTATATAATTTTTATTTTAATATTTTCAGGTTTTAGTATTTGAAGACGTCATCTTGGGCTCTTGGAATATGTGTTGGATATTTTTTCAATAGTTCCATACATTTTATACACCAAAGAGTTAGCTGATTAATGAGCTAATGGGTATTTAGCACATGACACCCTGGATAATTTGACTCTTTATTTGGTTAAAGAAAAAGTCCCCAAAAAAACGCCCTGAAAGTCAAGACTGGATGAATGACATAAAGAGGACAGTCAACATTTCACATTCAGTTGTCGGTTATTCCCGACAACTCCTGCCTTTTTTTTGTTGTGTATGAAGGAGTATGTGCATTTGGTGCGAAATCTACTGTCGACATTTGGAAGAATCAGGGAGCGGCTGAACAATCTTCACAGCTGTTCTCTTATCACCAATGTCAGGAAAAGTCTACATTGACTCTGAAAAACACCCGGATCAGCTTTCCCATCCAGAGCAACAGACCTCTCTTATACAAACCCAACAGGGGGAAGTCACAGGAAAAGGGAAAATCTGGTTTCTGACTCTTGAAGCAGAAAGTCCAAGCTGATGGGAAACTGTTGGGGAATGTCTACGTGTGAGCAGGTCTCACACTTGTGAGTGAGCGTCCCTCATGACTGGTAGAGAGTGGTACACCATGAGTTGGAATGCAGCCCCCATGGGCCCCGCATGTTGCACAGTGTGTGTGCCCAGGATGGACTTCGCACCTTCCTCCAGCCTGGTCAAAACAGCAAGTGTCCAAAACAGGATTTCGCCTAAGCAAAGGGAGGAAAAAACCCGGCCTGTGCCTGCACCGTTTCTTTTCCTGTTTTCTAAATGCCAGGCGGTATTAACGAAGGCCTTCAGCTGCTTTCGAAATTACTTTCATTTAAGCTCATATACAGGAACCGCAGGGGGAGGTGCCACGCTGTAAAAAAAGCAAAAGCCGCTCAATTGAACCAAGAAGAAAAATAAATCCCCCCACCCCCACCCCCAGCCACTTATGGTCCTATCAGCTAAAGAGCATTCCCATAGGAACAGAATGAGCCTGGTTTAGTCGTGCAGAAAGGGAAAAAAAAAAACTCTATTTGAAGTTGTTGACATTTGAAAGCCATTGTACTGTATACAGTAGTATCAGAGCAGGCTCTGTTTGCCCATTGGGGGGTGTCAGGGTGAATAATATACCATGTGGGGCCTCAGGTAAATAAAAGCCTTGAGTAGAAGCAACCCCACCTGCCCTGACCAAGCAGAGGCCTCAGGAAGAGCAGATTCATTGGTAATGGATAACTAACCATTATGATGCTTAAAGGGGGCAATGGGCACGGGGAGATAAGAGCGTGGGGACCGTCTGAGCATGAGGTGTTTACAAGGGGAATTCCTCACATTCCTCAGCTGCAGCCATGCCACTCCAATCTGCACCTCCACCCACTGATGGTCACCCTCTGCGCCAAGAGGGACACAAGGGGTGAAAGAGCCCAATAAGTTCCTTGACAGGAAATGGCTGCTTTAAATGTGCTATGTAAGGCGTTTTGAGTATTGCTTTTTGGGAGTATTTGAACGCTTATACAGCAGGCGGAGGAACAAATGCAGTAGATCCCTAGAGAGTTAAAATTCAAAACACAAAGGCCTTTTTTTAGCTTTAGGAGATTTTGAGTTAAAGCTGGAATGTAGTTGTCCACACATTCAAGCAAAATGATGGATTTTTCATTTAACTTCGCTGTTGTAGGTATCCAATAAAAATGTGATAGCTGAACCGGGTGATGTTGTCACACATTTGTTATTTACTTGAAGCTGCAGTAGGGAATTCTCCCAATGCCATTTGCAAGCTCACCGCAACTGCAGCAGTGTAGGAAGTATAACACTTTGGTCCAGACTCAGACATCTCAACAACTATTGTGTGGATTGTCATTGAATGTTGTACGGACATTCATGGTGCCCAGAAGATGAACCCTAATGACTTTGGTGATCCTCTGACTTTTCATCTAGTGCCAGTTAAAAATTTATTTGTCCAAAACTTTGGTTTATGACAAAATACCTGCTAAAAAACACTAACTAGCCTCATCTGTACTTTGTGTTTAGTGCTAATTAACAAATGTTAACATGCTAACAACTTGACTGGTGGACATTATACCTGCTATTAAACATCAGCATGTTAGCATTGTCATGCGGACTATTAGTCTTGTTTGTGTTTTAGCATACTTTACCATACAGACTTTTATATAATTAAGATTTACTCAGGAGAAAACTATATGTATTTCAGCTTTAATTTCAACAAAGGGCTGCTTTGTGGTCAAATATTTAACCTGCTTATGTCACACTACAAGATAATCCCTCAGTGCTGCACCATAATTCCCAATGGATTGCTCAGTGTTTTAAGAGTTACAAAACTCAAGCTCACACACAAGTCTATAAACCTATGAGGCACGGCTGCAAAGCTAGAGGAAGCTATATCTGTTGCATTAATATTTTTTATCAGGTAATAAATCTACCTAAGTATAGGAATATATTTAAAGGGTTTTCTTATATACTTAATGCTCTGAAATGCAAAGGTTTTAAAAAATCCCTGGTGCCATTTTGTATAAGAAAGTCATAAGGCTGGGCTTAACCCCAGACTTGATCGCCTCAGCCTGCAAAACAATTTTCAGCTTTTTTTTCACAGACAAGCCCTTGTTGCCCGGCACTTACTAGTAACACAACATCTATTTTCTGCCCCCAGTCCACCTGAGGAGTATTTGTGTTGTTAACATTTGAGTACCCTTTTAATCCAACTGTCTTGTTACACAAGAAATGTCCAAAAGAGGTTCTGGAGAAGGATAAAATTGTCTCATATTTTGTGGCGTATAATACCCACATGTGAAAAGTGAAACACGGGGACTCCTCGGGACACAGAGGGTTTGTGTTTTAGAATCAATCACCACATTTTTTTAATGCAGCGCAGATGACTGTGTCTAATAGGATTATGAAAAGGCCTGATGGGAGGAGAAGGTCCATGGGGGCACGTTACCCCAGCAAAACCATCCTCAGTTGCCAACAACACTAGCAGGTGTCAGCCTGATGATTAGGGGGTCTGAGGCTGGGCTCACCTATGGGGGTTACTCTATTCTCTAATGGATGGATGGTTGTGACCCCTGCCC